CCCTCCCTCCCTCCCTTTAAAAAATAAAAATAAAAAAATCGCCCCCCTTTTTTCTTTTTCTGTCTTTTTTGCCAATCGACCATTTCCAGTGGGCCTCTTTTTTTTTTTATAAATATAATATATATTTTTAATATATATATATATATTTTTAATATTTTTTAATATCGTGTGTTCCGATGGACAACGGATCAGGAGCATGGTCCAATTAGCGGTGGGATGGGAGTGTGGCCGATCCAGTGTGACACTGAGTGGCAGCGGCCTGACAGGTTCATTACGAATTTCTGGGGTGAGAAAACAGGAGAAAGGGCAAAAAAAAAAAAAAAAAAAGAAACAAAAGACCTGCCACGGGAAATCAGAGTGGGTAGTCTGAGGTGAAATTGAGAGAAGAATATAGCTTTAAAAAATAAAAATAAAAAAAATCAGGGCAGAGTGCTTCCCAGCAGCCATCAGATGACAAATGATCTGATGGTGGTGGTTGCAACAACAGTGAACAAAGTAACTGCCATTTTTTTTTCTCTGGAATAAACTCGACTTCTGTCAGCAGTGATCTTGACGATCGCCATATATACTCCGTGATTGAAGGAGGGCTCCACCCAATGAGATAATTGCCCAAAAGCAAGCAAAATACTGAAAATCTTCTATCCAGTGGGCCTATGGCCTACCCCACTCTCTTTTGGGGTTGGCCATACCCCCATACCCCCAACGGATTGAAAAGATTTTGGCGGGAAGCTTCGTTTGCACCGGCAAGCCCGGTGTTTAAGGAGAGGAGGAGGGGAACGAAGATCTCCGTACTTTTTCGGGTTCGGGAAATACATGTAAAATACTGACCGTGGGATCACGAGTACTGCACGGCAGGATTTGGGTCACTCAACTGCAACACACACTCTTCTCTATCCTATCCCGTTGCTAGTGGGACCATGCTCCAGATGATATTAAACTGATCAGAACAGATGTACGACACTTCATCTATTTTTAGCCAAACGGCCGAGAAAGGTATGCGTGGGCCTTTTCGCAAGACCACTCGGGCTCTTTCGAGAAAACGCTCGTGACAGGAGGGAGGATAATCTCATCCCTTCCAAATGACTAAGTTTCGACGCTTTTCGAAAGATGAGTA